TGTCACAGATAACATTACAATATGTATAAAAATGCTCAGATTCAAAATATATGTCTATAATTCATTAGCTGGAACCACTGGGGCTACAAATGCTTCATCAGAATAGTTCAGATTTTGGAAAGGTGAATGTCATGTAACACTACCGCTTTGGTCAGAAACAGCATCTCATCATCGCGCCCATTAATAATTCTGAAAGAAACATAAATATTCACACAAAGAGGTAGAAACAGAAACTATAAACAGGTTCGTTTTAGTATAGGTTTTGCTGTTGACTGAGTTTGCCACAAACTTAGAAAAAATCACCCAGTTTTCTGAGGTATTTGCATTTTAGAATTGAGAAAAAAAATGTTCTTTAAAAAAAAAAAAGGTAGGCTATTGCTTTGCTATGTTTTCAAGTGAGTCTTTAAATTAAAATATATTTAGGAAACGTGTTTTGAAAGGTGCCTGAGAGAAACAGGCATCACTCTTGACACACTTCCTTTCCTCACTACCAAATGTAAGCAAATGTCATAAAGCGCAGTCTTAGCTATGGAGCATCCTTAATTATCATTAGACTTAACCACTTCTACTTTCACAGCTACTCCCTTATTTCAGGCCATCATCTTTTCTCCTGAAATTATCGCAACAGCCTCTTAATGGGTCTTGATGGCTCTTGCCTTGCCCCATGTCAATTCATTCTCCATAATACAACAAAGTTTTTCTAAAATGTAAGTTTGACCATGTTAATTCCATTCTTAAAATTTACACTATCCTACCACAATGCACTTTATTCCCTTTGTTATTTTGCCAAAGTGCATCACATGAAAAGTGACAGTAACAGCCCCGACAAACTACTCCCCTGGCTTCACTCACCACTGAACCACTTGCTCCCTCTACCTAAAATGACCCGTTGCATCCAGCCTGCTCTAATCCTCCCCATCCAGCTCCCAAACAACAACAACAAAAACAAAAAATCTTCAGGAATCAACATAAACTGTACTGCATCTAAGGAAATACCCTCTTTTCACATAAAAGAAGCAATGAATTCTTCCTACTCATGTTT